TGTAACGGGCTGAGCCCGTGAGGGTCTCGGCTCCGCTCTCGACAAGACCCACCGGAGCTCCGCTTATAAGCTCGTGCCATCTTCGAGAGCTTTCCTTTCTTTTCTTTTTTTCTTTTCTCCTTAGCTTTAGGATACTCGTCGCAGTCGCTCAGCTAGTTGTCAACACACTCAGTTGAGACCGTTACATTATCCTAAAGCTCCGCTTTCATCGTTAAAGCCTTTGATCACAATCAATTGGCAGCGCTGTTCAGTTCCCTTTGTGGGTACGCGGAGTGGCAGTAGCTTGGGCAATCCTGTGTGGAACGCCCGCGACGAAAGTGCGTGTGTACGGCGCCAAAGCCAGCTTGGCTCGCGTCGCGTAGCTCTCATCTCCCGAGCAAAGGACGTGGAGCGTCAATCTGCTCTCCGTACGGCGTGCGGTTGAGCGAGAAGTACGTGATTGCTGCTTGGCTCCCAGTGTGGACGGCAGCAGCTGGACTAGAAGCCCTGTGCAGAACGTCCAGCCGTGTAGGAAGGAGCCTTCGAGGCGTTGATAGCGTTCGACCGTTGTCGAGATATCCCTTCCGTATCAGACTTGCTGTGTGATCAAGTCGCCCTCAGTCCTGAGAGACGAGGAGAAAATCTTCAGTCATGGAGGCAATCGATTCCCAGCAAGGTTCTTTTGAGCCTCAATCGATGATGCAAGCCCTGGCTGCAGTGATGGACAAACTAGAAAGTGTGTGCAAGCCAAGAGGCCGAACGCGAAGAGATGCGATCGCAGATCCGAATCCTCCAAACAGCCGTCTCAACTCCGACTCCGGCAAATGAACCAGTCGCTCCTATCGAACCGATGTCCGACAACACGCCTCAATCGATCGAGACATCCGAAAGAATCCCATCAAAGAGGGTAAAACCAACCTTGCCTGATCCGCCGAAATTCGATGGAACCAGGAAAACTTCCGTCCCTGGTTCTTAGAGATGAAAGCGAAATTGGCTGTGGACCGACAGGCATTCGACAATAAAGAAGCACTCTTCGCCTATGTGTACTCCCGGTTGGCGTAACAGCCCAGAACATGGCCGCTGCTTATTACGAACAGGGCGGTATCGATGGTGCTCGCTCCCCAGATCTGTTTCTCGACTACTTGAACCGTCGGTACGGGGACCCGAACGCAAAGGCACGAGCACTGGATCGACTTCGATCGTTGAAGCAGAAGCCTGATGAGAGTTTCGCCAGTTTCTTCCCAAAGTTCGAGAAAGAGCTTGCCGATAGTGGCGGTGGCGAGTGGGCCGACGTGGTGCAAATCAATTACTTGGAAGGAGCAATTAATAATAGGCTCAAGTCGAGTCTCGTCAGTGCCGTCAGTCTCCCGAAGGATTTCAACAGCTACGCCGAGCTACTCTTGACGATTGGCTCGCGCCTAGATAGCCTCAATTTCCACCAACGACAACAAGGCCGCGAGCAGAGGTCAAGAAAGGAGTATGGTCGTTTATCCGAACCGCTCGAGTCCCGACAAAGCCCCGTCACCCGGATCGCCAACCACGTCGTCCCCGTCCGATGATCAGATGGATTGGGAACCCGTGAAAGCAAATCGGTTGATAAACGGCAGGAGGGCCCCGGAGGAAAAGCAATTTGTTCCGTTGGAGGAGCGCAAATGTTACGAGTGCGGGAAGCTTGGCCATCTTGCGGCCAAGTGTCCCGGGAAGGAGCGGCGGCAGCAGAGAGTCAAGGTCCGTGTCGAAGAGAAGACAAGAAGCTCGAGAGCAAAGCACCAAGAGCCCGCGGAGAGTTCTAGCGGGGATACCTCCGATGACCATTCGGAAAACGAGTAGCTCCTGACGAAAATCGCCGTCAGGAGCGCGCAAAGGCTGAGGCGGAATGGGCAACTCAGAAGGACGAGATGGACTGTGAAGGCCTCTACGTAAATTTCGGTATCAATCGAGTATTTCACCACGGCCTTCGTTGACTGTGGTTGCCTGTGTTATGGGACCATCAGTGAGCGCCTTGCCCGCAAGCTTCACCTGCCGCGTATTCCGATTAAACCTCGAGCGTTGGAGCAGGTCAACACATTCTCACCCGAGGCCATCTGTGCCGTGACCTACTTCGACTTCGATATCGACGGGTACCAGAAGAAAAGAGCTTTTTTCTACGTTGTGCGAGACCAGACCGATCCTGTGATTCTGGGCAAGAAGTGGTTGAACCAGGAGGATGTCACCTTGCGATTATCGCAGAACCTCTTGCATATCGGGACGCACGACCATTGGGTGAAAGGCCGAGACCCGAAGGAGGAGGAACGGTGCAACATACGAGGACAGGCGGCGTTCGTGTTCGCCGGAATGGTTCGCCGAGCAAGAAAGTTCAAGCATCGAGACGATGGAGTGCGGATCTTCGCCGCAAGCCTGAAAGACATTGAGAAGGCATTGACTCCGAGGAAGAAGTCAGACCCGAGAGAGAAGCTGCCCCGTCACTACCACGAGTACCTATCCGTCTTCGACCGCGACCAAGCGGACCAACTCCCACCGCGTCGTCCGGGGTGTGATCACAAGATTCAGTTAGAGAGAGGCCCTGATGACAAGGAGAAAGAACCGCCGTGGGGACCATTGTACGGCATGTCACGAGAAGAGCTCATTGTTCTGCGAAAGACTCTCACTGAGCTACTCGACAAGGGTTTCATTCGAGCAAGTAGTTCTCCAGCGTCAGCACCAGTTTTGTTCGTGAGGAAGCCCGGTGGTGGTCTGCGCTTTGCGTGGACTATCGAGGATTGAATGCGATCACCAAGAAAGACCGATATCCCTTGCCGTTGATCGAGGAAACTTTGCGGTCGCTGTCCAAGGCCAAGTGGCTCACCAAACTTGACGTTATCGCAGCATTTCACAAGATTCGCGTCGAGGAGGAGACGAGTGGAAGACAGCATTCAGAACACGTTACGGACTCTACGAATGGCTTGTCACGCCATTCGGGTTGACGGGTGCTCCGCAACGTTTCAGCGTTACATAAACCACACGTTGCGAGATTTCCTCGACGAGTTCTGTTCCGCTTACATTGACGACATCTTGATCTACTCGAGCGGTTCGCTCGCAGATCATCGCAACAAAGTCAGGCAGGTCCTTGCTCGACTGCGAGATGCAGGCCTGCAGATTGATATCGACAAGTGTGACTTTGAGGCAAAGAGTGTCAAGTACCTGGGCTTCATCGTCGAAGCCGGGAAAGGTATCCGCGTGGACCCGGAGAAGGTGCAGGCAATTCAGCAGTGGCAGCGACCCCGTTCTGTCAAAGGCGTCAGAAGCTTTCTGGGGTTTGCCAACTATTACCGGCAATTCATTCCCAGATTCTCCAACATCGCCGCGCCTCTAACGGCGTTAACAAAGAAGGATGCGGTGTTTGCGTGGTCGAAGGAGTGCGACAAGGCCTTCGAGGAGTTGAAGGCTCTTCTGACCAGTGCGCCGGTCCTTGCGCAATGGGATCCGGATAGAGAGACGATTGTGGAGACGGATTCATCCGGTTATGTCACAGGAGGGGCGCTCTCGCAAAAGGGCGATGACGGCATCATGCGGCCTGTGGCCTTCTTCTCAAAGAAAAACGCACCGGCGGAGTGCAACTACCCAATCCACGATAAAGAGCTGCTGGCGATCATTCGCTGCCTTGAGCATTGGGACGCCGAATTGAGGAGTGTGAAGTCCTTTACCGTTTTGACGGATCATCTCAACCTCCGTTACTTCACCAAGAAGCAGCAACTGAGTGAACGTCAGGCGCGATGGGCTGAGACGCTATCGCGGTACAGCTTCACCATCAAGCATCGACCGGGCAAAGAAGCCGTCGTACCGGACACGCTGTCTCGACGAGAACAGGACATGCCGCACAGCGCCGAAGATGATCGGTTGCAAGGACGACGTGTTCAGCTGCTGCAACGTAACAAGGGTGGCCTGGTGACAAAAGTCAAGAGCGGTTATGTCACCAAGGGCGACACGGATCAACCCGATGACGCAACAACTGACCAAGACGACTCAATCGAAAACCCTTTCTCGGACCCGGAACTGCAGAAGTTATGGGACGAAGGTGTCAAGAAGCACAATCGTTATTGGCTCATCCGAAAGGCCGTACAGCAAGGCGAGAGGCGTCTGCCGTCGCATTGGGGACTGCCCGTGATGCTCTCGGAATGCTCGATTGACGATGGACAGCGGCTCTGCTGGCGAGAGCGAATTTGGGTGCCGAACCACGAACCCTGCGCACGCGGCTTATGCAGGAGACGCATGACTCAACGCTTGCAGGACACCCCGGACGGGACATGCTGAAGTCCTTGTTGAGCCGCAAGTTTTATTGGCCAGGCCTCGATTCAGACGTGCGTCAATTTGTGAGAAATTGTGATGTGTGTGGCCGAAGCAACATTTGGCGAGAGAAGCGTCGCGGTTTATTGAAGCCGCTACCTATTCCAGACAGGATCTGGTCGGAGCTGTCAATTGACTTTGTGACAGACCTGCCACCAACCAAGTCGAACGGTTCGACCAACCTTATGGTCGTGACGGACAGACTGTCCAAAAGTGTCGTTCTTGAGTCATTGAAGGACATCACGGCCGAGACGACGGCCAGAGCATTGCTACGGAACGTGGTGCAACACCATGGCGTGCCGCGCGCGATCGTCACTGACCGTGGCACGCAATTCACCAGTAGACTATGGCAGAGGCTCTGCGAGCTGCTACGCGTGAAGCAAAGATTGTCTACGGCGTGGCATCCCGAGACTGACGGTGCAACAGAAAGGGCGAATCAGGAAGTCGAGAGATATCTGAGGATCTTTGCTGCTTATGCTCAGGATAACTGGGAAGAGCTGTTGCCAGCGGCCATGATGGCCATCAACAATCACAACTCGACGTCGACAGGCCTGAGCCCGTTCTTTATCACGCATGGGTATCATGTTGACCCGATACAAGTCAAGGAGAAGTTACGGACGGACGGAAGGTCCCCAGTGACCAGGGCTGAAAGCATTGTGCAACGATTTCGAGAGGCAACGGAATGGGCCCAGGCGGCAATTGCGTCAGCGCAAGAGCAGCAAGAGAAGAACGCCAATTCGCGAAGACAGCCGTCAGACCAGTTCAAGCCTGGAGACAAGGTATGGCTGCGACTTCGCAACATCCGATCCAATCGGCCATCCAAGAAGCTCGATTGGCTGTCGGCCAAGTACACCGTCCTGGAGACCATTGGGTCACACGCGTGCAGGCTGGACACGCCTCCGGGAATACACAACGTGTTCCACGTGTCGCTCTTACGCTTAGCAGCGGACGATCCGCTACCGTCACAGACGTCGGATGACTACCGCCCACCGGCCATTTTGACGGACGATGGCGAGCTGTGGGAAGTGGAAGAGATTCTGGACAGGAAGAAAGTCGGGAGAGAGTGGAAAGTGTTGGTGAAATGGGTCGGATGGATAGGTCCGACGTGGGAGCCAGTCAAGTACGTCGCAGACACAATAGCACTGGCTAGGTATGAAGAAGTTCATGGGAAAGTTGGATCGAAACCACCCCAATCGAAACGATCGAAACGGGGAGGAAGGAGGGGTTATTGTAACGGGCTGAGCCCGTGAGGGTCTCGGCTCCGCTCTCGACAAGACCCACCGGAGCTCCGCTTATAAGCTCGTGCCATCTTCGAGAGCTTTCCTTTTCTTTTCTTCTTCTTTTCTCCTTAGCTTTAGGATACTCGTCGCAGTCGCTCAGCTAGTTGTCAACACACTCAGTTGAGACCGTTACAATACTATTGAACAAGATGGTATAGATATAAGTTTTAATACACCTGTCTGCTTACTCGGTCCAAGGGCGGCTGTCTTGTTTTTGAACTTTCTGCTTGTGCTAGTCTTGCCAGCCGCTACCCGATCTCCCTGCATTCATGGTTTGGTAGACTAACCGCCTTGCTCTCAGGGACAGGTTGTGTAGCATTCTTTGGACGTCCTCGAAGGCTCGTTGTGATCTTGGGATCGAGAATTCGGCGGTAGGGGTTGCGCGAGGTGGGCTGCCTTAGGTGCCACCGAGGGTGGACGTCCCATTTCGTCAAGATCGCCCCTGCTTCCAATTTGTTATAGATTGTATGACGGCAAGGAATCCCCAGCTGCGGAGAGATAGTACAGTCTTCGTTGCAACCTCCGATCGGCTCCGGCCAGGACAGGAACCGCTTGGTGTCGATCTTAGAGCATGGCGGTGTTCCTTAGCGAGCAGATTGAGTCCTGGCTGGGACATCACTATGCGAAGCACTCCCAGGTACTCTGACCCCGGGCCAGAGTATGTTCGTGAGGTCAGTACTTCGTCTTGCGAGCAGTTATCAGTGAAGTCTCGCTCCTGATCGATTAGCATACCCTCAATCGCCTCAACAAGCCCATGAAAATTGCTCATTCCGTTGAGTAGATAACTTTTGATATTGTTGTTGCTGGCCTCGGTACCGGAGGTCACCCGAACCCCGAAATTGCGGTATTTCTTGATGAAGCAATGAGCCTACTGCGCGCTTATGGGCAAATAGGTCTTGTAAAGATACGTTAGAATAGCCTGCTGGTCATTGAACTCTTCGCACAGGCGCACCCATGCCTTCTCGTAATTTTGCTTGGTCTGTGCGAAGACCACATACTTCCATAGCTCAAGGACGCCCCGGTAGCTGTGAGGCACAGGCGCGGGGCGGCCGTTCTTTAAAGGCGGGTCACCATGTCTCCCTACCGCGAGGACAGCGTCTATATCCCCCGAAGTCAACGCTATCTGCGTCTGTCCACTGCCAGAGCTACCACCGTCGCTATCGCTCTCTTCCTTTGCGTTCTTCCACTTCCGTTTGGCATTGAGAAGAACGTTGGAGTTGATATGGTGGATACATATTTGTTGTTGGCTGTCGGGGAACTGGTTATCCAATGCTGCCTTCATCTGCTGATCGTAGTCGGTGATAACGACTTCAGGTAGCGGAATCTCATGTTTCTCACTCAATTTCTTGATCCCTTCTGCGAGGAATTGGAACCCTTCACGTTTCTCGTTATCGATCAGACCGAACGCGGCATTGTAGACAGACTTTAGGCAAGTCTGGCCTGTAACCTGGAAGAGCGGTAGCTTGAATCGATTCGTATTATACGTGTTGTCAAAGCTCATTATTTCCGGAAAGCGTTTCCACATTCGGAGACAGAATGGAAAGGTCCATATTAGGCCAACAAGGCGACCAGGTTCTGTCGCTGACCACTTGACGATATATGGAATGTCCCTCTCGTCAAAGAGCTTGATCAAGCGGCCGTTGAGCCCAATCCGCCAAGCTTCTCGCGGCGCAAAAGTGCTCGGGCATTGTATATGTCCTTTCTCGTGTAGAGCATGCCGGGTGCTTTTCTCTGACGATGCCGCGTATATCGCGCGCCCTTATCCCGACTCGTCGGCTTATCACTTCGATTGTGGCCTTGACAGATTCAGTAAGCCTCCGATGAACTGGATGGGCCGAGAGACTCATACTGCAGTCGTGGTTGTGTTGGCGGTGCTGCGGATTGGAAAACGCCCGTAGAGTCCACATATAGTCGTCCTGTTCCAGGGCCCCCGCAATAATTTTCCACTTACAACCACACTTGCGGGACCGTTTTTGGCGAAGACTTGCGCTCCTAGACGGGCGAGGCTCGCCGTACCGGTCACACTGAAACACGTATCGGGTTTTCCGCGCTTGACTGCCGGAGCCGTTATGCCTGACAACCCCAAATCCGTTTTCTTTTGCGAACTCGTTGACTTGGAATTGAAGGGCATCAATCGATAAAGCGGCAGGGCCAGGAATTGGCGGATTAGGGATAGGTGCAGAGGTACTTTGACTGCTAGACTCTGCATCGGAAATGCCATTCCATTCTTCATATCCCTCTTGCTCTCCGCTTGGTTGCTCCAGCGGCGACGGTGATAAGGGCGACGTCGATGGGCTGAGGATGTCTGAAGCAACTCGCCGAGGACCAAGTCTACGGCAATTCTTGGCCAATTCAAGAGCCAGTTCTGTGTCAAACTTGGCTTGCTCTTGAGCGAAATACAAGGCGGACTGGAAGCGAACGGTGCTACCGATGTACTTGTCGGTGTCTTTCGATTTCGTCTGCTCGCGCAAGCACGCTCTCTCCGGCTTGTCGGGGCCTGGAATCACCGGGTAAATAACCGCCTGGCGCCGCCGCCGCGGAAACAGTCGTCCAAGAATATTCGTGATTGCCGCAAAACCCAATACGGTTCATCGACTCCGCGATTGCCATGCGGCTTAGGCAGACTGCTGAAATAGTTTTCTGGCCATATCGCAAACAGATTGTATAAGGAATTATTGTCTCCATCGCCGTAGTGAAGCCCAGGGTCGAACAGAGCACGCGATGTTTGTGTCTGGCCGCCGCCAGGAGACAGGATGGTGGTCATATCGCTACTCCTAGTATTGTTGAAATGGAGAAGATTCGAAATTCTAGGATAGCTACAGATAGCTGCCTTTTTCTAGCCAGAAGAATGGCTGGGGAAGTAATGGTTGGAACGAAAAGTTCCAAAACCAGCCATGCACTGGAAGGGGCATGGTGCATGGCAGTGGAATGTATCCATGCCAGATTTAGGGGGTCAGCCACACGGCGTCCGTAAGGCGGCGTCTGTAGGAAAGTGGTTCGAGAAACTTCCGGACTTGGTAGTACGTTTCGTATCTCGGGTGACCGCAACGTCGTTGTAAATGCGGTTTGCCCTCGCTTTTCACCACCACACTCGCTGGGACGACGTTGTGATGCTCAAACAGGCAAACTTTTTCTGTCAAGTTACAATCGAGCTCGACTCCCCAGCTATTTTCGGAGCTGCCTGACGCCTGCGCTAGACTCTTGATCTCTGGCGACTGAAACCCTAGATCTTGGCCAATTTCGCAAAATCATGTATTGTTCCTTCGTGTGCTTCCTCTGCTAGCGGTCTTGCAATAAGTCTACTATATCTTCTTGCTGAGGGTTTGGGTAATTTGAGAAAGTTTCGCAAGGCAAACATCCACAAGAACTGAATCGCCTCGTCGAAGGACACGGTTGATGCTGTTCCTCGCACCAGCTGCTGTTGTTGGCGACTCTGTTCGTTAAAGTTATACTGAAGGGCGGTACGAATTGTTGTTCTGCTTAATTTTCACCCCGACACTACAAAGAACTCATTTATGCTATCTCTGCTCAGTAGGCTCCAGCGCGCCTCGCCTCGGTCCCAGTCATGTCCGGCCACGTCCGCCGCGAGACCGTACCTGCTCACCGGACAACTGCTCGAAGCTACCCCAGCGCCTGGCATTCTGTGGGAGTCAATGCAGGTAAAGTCCCAGGTATTAATGTCGTTGCTCTTGCTAAATACTTCAAGGATCTGTGTTGGAGGCGCATCTGCTTCCTGCTGGACAAAGGGGGGACAATTACAGTTGAGGCGATTTTTTTTGTTCAGGCTGAAACTCGGCTGATTGGGTGGTATGGCGACAGCAGGAATTGAAGTTAGCGACATGCGCATCGAAGGTGGGCTGGCGATAGAGGAGCTACAGCCTCGACTGATTCGGGTTCTTCCTAGCTTTGAGATCGGCCACGACAATCGTGAAAGCTTGTTAGGGAAGCTGACGTCGTTAACGTATAGTCTGTGTATGCTGGGCAGACCTCCAGAAAGGATGGAAGACGCGAGGTATGAATAATAGCCAGGCGCTGTGTATGGACCCGCGTCTGGCGTTTCGGAAATCTCGAAACGCAACGTCTTCAGCTTCGCCGATGCTAGCAGTTGAGGCCACTTCGCGCTCGGGAAAGGCTCCGAAACCTTTGCCTGGAAAGCCAAGGTCCTCAAGCTTGGTGTCACTACCAAGACCTCTTGCAGCTGCGACGACTGGACGCCCGTGTCCTCGAGAGTTAGGACCTTAAGCGCGTTTTGGGTCTCATATGAAGATAAGTACTTGATCAAACCGACAGTAGTCATCCTAGGCGTATCCTTCAGTATCAGCTCTTCCAATGCGACCAGCGGAGGGAGACCGTCGTCAAAGGCCATCAGCTCATCGGAAAAGCTGTGTGTCTTTGTGACCTTGAGAGCCCGGAGGCGGGTTAGAGATGCGAGGACAGCCCGCATCGCCAAGGGGTCGACGTCAAGGCTGTTGAGCTCCAGAACCTCGAGCCATAGCCACACCTGCTGAGAGGCCAAACCGACAAGCCAACACTCAGATCCCCGAGAATATGCGATTTTGCGGAGCTTACAGCACCGCACCTGCACCTCGCGCCTGAGCATGGCGTTATTGGGCTCATCAGTAAACATTCTCTCAGGTAGGTCAACATATTGCAGATTAGGCAGCACGGCAATGGTTTGGGCCAACTCGACTTGCCACGATTCGCGTATCATAAACGGCGTCTTGAGAAATTGGACGACCTTGCCGATACGAATTGGATCTTCACGTACTGTCCGTCGGAAGAGCCTCAATCTCGCTAGTGCCGGATTTGTCGGGATGCCGTTGCGGTCGAGGTGTGAAGTCTTCTTACGCTTTTCAGCTAGATGGGCCTCGAGCCTGCAATAGTGCACCATGTCTATTCGAACGCTGTGATAACTGGAAACCAGAGACTGTGCATAAGACTGGTGTCTCAACAGACAAAGAGGGTTTGCGGCTTTGCAAAACGTACAGGACCATGGTCGCATTGGCTCGCCACGTTCGACTGACTTGAGCGCAGTGAGACAAATTTCTCAGGTCGCACAGCATGCATCCACCGTCGCCGATACTCCCCTCGCACGTGTCGTAGCTCTCATCACGCGAGTGCGGGCACACAAAGGAGAATATATATTGCAGGATGGCCGGGAGGATCTGCGTGAGCGGTCCGGCTAATGCTCCACGTGGCGGAATCAGTGGCGGCTCCGGCTTAGGGAGGCGGACCCCGTCAGGACAAGGCGACGCAACAACAATCTTCTTGTCACGTTTTCGAAAGGGCAGTTTCATGATTCAGCCAACTATGATCACGAAAAACTAGCAGGTCATATTCCGTCAGATAAGAGAAATAATAACGCCAATTGCTTTAAAGTCATGTTGCAATCGACAAGGGAAGAAACGTACCTTTTCGCAAAGCAGTTTATGCTCCCGGTTATTGCGGAGCAGCGGTGGCAGTGCGTGAAGAAAGGGGAGCTGAAGAAGACGCAAGGTATATGTTGAGCCAGCATTGCACGTTCCCTGCAGTCTGGGCCTCACGTGCTGCACTGGCTCCAATGGGTATGGCGGATGTTTATAGAAATCACGAACGGCATGTGCGAGAGTCAACTTTTGCTCGCTAGGCTCCAAAACTTTCCGGGCTCCCAAACTCACCAGCGAACCAGCAAGGTCTCAAAACTGGCGCAGCAGAAGCAGCCGTCAAAGGGCTGACTCCGACCACAGCAATTGACAGGTGTCTTCGGCGAATCAATTTTTCAAATGGCTGTTTGCAGGGAGTTCGCTCCAGCTCAACGACTAATTCTTCCCTGCGCCCGGCCCCGATGCCTAAACTTGACGACAGCCAATTCTCTACTTTCGGTGCATCTTTCGGCAAACCTTGGCAAAAAATACCTTTCTGGATGCCAGTACAGTACTGTATTGACTGTGCAACATGATTCACTCCCTTTGAAATTAGGGATCTCATGCCCTCCGAGACCTCTATTCGACCTTATGCCGGCTTATTGACTGTGGCCGCGAGATGGGCCGGGAGGGGACCCAGAGAGCAAGTCGTACCTAGATGACGTTGAAGATCTTTTTTTAGATCGTACACCGGCATGAACAAAAGGTTACACCTGCAAAGCGCACACAACGAAACAGAGAGTGAAGAACGGGGGCCAAATCGTTCAATTCATTGATCTCTGACGGCCTCCTTAAGGGGCTATGCTAACCTGCTTTTATAACCGCGAGATGACTCCCGGCCCCGTGCTTTTTCTCTGGAATAGTCAATTCAGCCAGTAGTTGGAATCACCAGCCACCTACCAGGGTCAAGCACTTCAGGCGCGTGAAAACAATGGCATGACTCTTACACAAGACGTGGCATCCATAGTTTTTGATTCGCTCCTTTTTCTTTTTGACCCACGGGTACATCCGCACGAAGGCGGAAGCCAAGTCTCTTAACAAAGCCCGGCCTTCAATTGAGGCGCACTTTAAAACGACGTCTGGTTTGCAACACGAAACAAAGCCAATTCCAGTCCACCCTAGAGGACAGCTATCCTTTCCTCCGGGTTCCTCGCGAGCCCCGGGTAACAGGCCTTCGGTTGGCTACACCATGCTCGGAGCGGCACACGAACTGGACAACCAAGCCTATTTCTCTGCAACTTGGCAGAAGCATTCGAGACAGATGCATTCTAACACATAAGATACTGTATCAGCAGGTCCGATACTTCGGCAGCCGCCAGACTTAAATGTCAAGGGTACATGCCGGTCCTCTATGTTCTTTCATGTGATGACGGTTATCATCTCACCGGACGACGCCGGTCCGAAGTGGTGTTGTTCATGTCATTGGTCTGCGTCAAATGGAAATCTTGAGCGGCCATACATGGCCCCGCCGGAACGTCATTTATGTTGTAAAGTTGGCTACAGACGTGTCAACCTCCGCCCGTAGTACATGACTTTCCGACGCTTCTTGTTCATCGACTTCCAATACTTCTGAGGTGCTCATTGGCGAGCGTTGCGGATGAACCGAAGAGCCCGAGAGGACATCATTCGTTCTAAAGTCTTCAGGGCCCTTCTGCACGGCCCTATAACTCCTTTCCTGGTCATCAATTAGCTTCTATCTCAATCTCCAGCATGGCAGATTGACGTACTATTTCAAGCACTGACGGTCGGAAAGAAGGAGATGATGAATATTCGAAATATCTACCATGTCTAGCACAGAAGTAGATATCGACATCGTACTTCGATCGCAACGTGTCCAGTCTCTTCATCACATTGCGCAAGCTTCTCGACACGTTCTCACTCCTTCGGTCCCTTTTCTGAGGAGTGGAGGCAACAATTTCGACCATGACTTTTGTTAGCACTGGATAACAGTGCCAATGCTCAAGGCCGTAGATGCACGCATCGCGTTATATTTGTCGTTTGAAATAGGTGGATTCGCTTCCAGCTGTTCAGTTCATGCGCGTAGAAGTGTGCCCTCACAATACGGACTTGGGCAAGAAGGTCAACTATTTCCTTCTTGCCTGTACCGCTTGGTTAGGGTCAGATACATCATCGTACAGACAGTACTGTATTGTACTGCACCGTAAACGGCATGATCGATCAGAAACTCTAATACAGCCCACGCTGTCTCTTTCTCTCGAAGCACAAGTTACCTCAATAGTCGGTGCTGAGGGATAGCTTCCTCCACAGAGACATGGCATTGAATGTACAGTAGGCGACGTACGCCACACAAGCCTTAAGTTGACAGACAGAATTGCATGTAACCCCAGGTCTGATCCATTCTTTGCGCGGGAATCCGGTCAGACAGTACGTGCGTAATGACTGATTGCCTTTAGTGTACTAACAAAGGATGGAGGTTGTAACATAGGGAGACACCGAAAGAGGCCAACATGACAGGCCTTTTCCGAGTCTTTCCCGCGCCATGTTTAAGCAGGAATCGGCGTTATAATGGTTCAGATGCCGTGCAGGAGAGTATTTAACAGGCAGTGCACTCCAGTTGACATCAGTGAAAGAGCGGCTTACTTCACCAGACAGCACGAATCGGAGTCAGTATCAGGGCCGTCTCCGGCTCATCTAGATTACTGCGTGCCAATAGTACCTATGAGACGACATGCCGTTAAAGGTGATCTGTATCAATCAAGGATATACCGGGTAAGAGTATACCACTTCTGGACCTACCTGAGTAGGAACCTGCCATCCTACAGTAGGGCCAGAGTCCTCACGGTCGCCCCAGGGCGGCATCCTGTGGCCTTGAACTTTAAGGGGGGGGGGTGGTTGGGTAGCCTTCCAGGGTGATGAATAAGTCACAGTGGGAACTGTCCTCATCTGGCCTTCGAGATCGCTGTTTCGATAGGAAGTGGTCCAGGTGCCATAAAGGACGTTGGCCATGGCATTAGCGCATTCATGTGGCCAGCATTGACCTGAGACGTATTACCTAGATTTGGCCCCAATACCGGCGCTAGGCAGGGCCATTACCAGTCCCTGCCCGGGACCACCTTAGTGGTGTGACAATTTGTCAGGAAGTGGATAATTGGGATGCCGGTGAGGGCGTCGCCAACAACCTTCCGCTAGCCGGATGTCTACATCAGACTTGCCTTTGCCCGTACACTTCGTCCCAGTATGTAGAACAGTTCCCGGACATGTTGGAATGCTGCTCTTTTCTTGTCTTTCCGGGTTCTTGTTTCCTGGCAACGGCTTCAATCAAGCGAGTGGAAACAGGCCACAAACTCAGTACGCCGGGTTGTTTTGGTTCGCGAAGCGCGACGTAAAGCGCGTATCCAAAGGCTAATAAGGTTAGCCTCGATACCTGCCGCTGCGGGCAAGAGAGGCATACAGCAGAGCATCTTATACTAAGGTGCCCTAACTATAAGGAAGAAAGAAGGGACTTTTATAAGGCCCTTCTTCTAAGACCGCAGAAAACCCTAGCCTACCTTTTCTTTATAGCTAGCCGCTTGGAAGGAAAGCCCTTCTAGCCTTCCTAGCGAAGACTAAGATAGGTACAGCTACATGGTTGGCGAAGGAGTAACCTATAGGCCCTAAAAAGCCGTTAGGGGTAAAAGAACCAGCGAGGGACCGACCAGATTGACCTTTCCTATGTTACCTTTGTATTTCCTTACAAAATCCCTTCCCTAATTAGTTATAGGCTTCTTAAAGCTATGTAGCTAGCTAGGATTGCTTATAGAGGCTACATGCGAGTAAAGAATAAAAAATAAAAATAAAAAGCGCGTATCCTTGCCAAGCCGTGACCAGCTCGTCAAGAATCAGATGACAGCGGCGTAGGCGGCAGACGTAATAATATCAACAAACTAACATTCGATTACGGCCAGATGCCCACACACTTGATTCCCCAATCCTGAATGCGCAAGCCGCAGCGATGGAGTGGAGCGCCGAGGAAATGCAACTCGCCACGTCAACACAGTACGACGGAGCTTGACCGGGAAAGACTTTATTGCACAATTGCGCTTCTCTCCGTCCTGTGCCAGTGTAGCCCTCGGGACAGCGGCCGTGAAGGCTGTTCTTTTCGCGAAGCCCATTCCGAACTTGCATCCACATCCAGGCCGCCACATCAGTCATCTATCTGCTCGTCAGCAACCGGACGACGGCGCAACGCAATGGGTACCTGCGACAACGTCCACAGACGAACCTGGCCAGTTATCCACGTCCCCGTCCCCAGTGCAGTTTTTGGCCGTGCCTTATCACACAGTTTGCCCCCCCGCGCGATATCACTTCTCCGTCGCCATCAATTAGCCGACGCATTAATAGGCCGTGTTCTACGCACGTTTCTGTGTTACCCGAAACTCCCAGCCCTCACGACGGTTCGGTCGCGATTCTTAGACCATGGAACCATAGGTGCATACGACGCGACAGCGTAAGGTCGGTACATGCCACGTTTTGAGCGTCATACGTTCGTAAGCATTTGCCATCGCTTCTCCACGCCTACCATCCTTACCCCCCCTTTTGCTCACCCCCCCCTTTTGCTCCGCCAAATGAGACAAACCTCACCAAAAATCTGT